TTTTAGCATTGGTTTTCTACACCGAAGTTTTTTGTTTTTGTTTTTTTTTTTTTTTGTCGGAAGATTAATTATTTAATAATATAATATTTTAAACTTTTAATTTTAATTTTTAATTCAAATTTTAAAATTAATTAATGTACTTACTCGACTAATCACTTCTAGGCTGTTGCTCTGCACCGAATATCAAGACAACAATCAAAGCGTGTTAAGCGGTGACTGACTCATTGACTGGGTTAGTCATTATTATATATTTTCTGGACTGGATTTCTGTATAGAGACTGTAAAGGGAGTCACATGGCGTTGCCTAACTTCAAAAAAAGATTAAAGGGGGTCACATGTTTATGCTTGGAAACAACAGAGAAGGACGGACCATTCCAGCCACCTGCAATAAAAAATTGAGTAACGCGGTTATGCTTTTGCTTTAGATTTTATTTTATTTTGTTTGAGATAAGGCAATTGCTTTTGCTCCGGATTTTCATCTCCTTGTCGCCCTTTCCCATTGAAGAGATGTTAGCTAGGGCAAAGGGCGGTCGCTTTTATTAGGTTTTAGTTTTATATGTCAAAAGTATATATCCCGCCCAGGTTAGAGCCAGCCGTTGTCCTTTTTTAATTTAAACCTTTTACCATGAATTTGTCTTACGTCTTCCCTCCACTTGAATTTAGGTTATTTACCATTCAAAAAGAGCTCCATTTCATCCTTCCGTTCATTTTAAAGGTAACAGCATCTTTTTCACCGTGTGAAAATGTAAACAGTCACACATTAGCAATCTTTTTTAATTGTTTTTTTGTCCAACTTCTCATTATGGAACCTATTCCACATCATCTCTCTTTGTTTCTCCTTGCACTAAATTTGCCCTAAATTTCTTACCTGTCCCCTCTCACATGTATCTTGTAAGTGAGAATTGTTCCTTATTTTACTATTTTTTACCTCCAAAGACTCTGAGTTGCACAAAATCAAAGTTGGGATGTTGATGGCAATGGATGTATTAGAGTCATTCTTTATGCTATCAAACAGTACGCCAAAAAAAAAAATTGTTTTTCCCATTTCGTGTCCCTAATCCATAAAATCTCTTGTTTGACGTTTATTATCGGAATGTCGGGCAATATTATTGTCATTAAAAATTTTGATAAGATTATCAATTTTAAATGTAATTTTATTAATTTATAATTTTAAATAAATATTTATAATATTTAAAAATATTTATTTATAAATTAATTTTAATTTATTAAATAATTAATATTAATTATTAAT